AAATCAAATAAGGTTACTAGTTCTTCTAGCAACTAGTGAATGAGACCACTGAGCCGAACAGAATACATGTATAAACAGTACTATAATAAATTGCACGCAATGGAGAAATCATGTGTCGTAATAACAGCAGCGTTACTCACAGATCTAATCTACTGTAAAACATTCCTTCAGCGAAAATAGCAAAAAAATGTTGCAAGCAAAAATAAAGTATTTTACAGTAATTAATTTATTCTGAGCATGCGCAGACGTTCTGTCAATGTTGCCGGGAGAGGTAATTTTTGATGAAAATCGTGAAAAAGACCCACTTGGGATTTTCAGATCTGGAAAAAAAAAAATTACGTGCATACTCGGAAGACACTTATTCATCAACCTGCCAAGTTTCACTGATACCTGCTGTAGAATTTCTGAGAAAATGTTGGAGACGGAAAAAAGACAAAACCTGAATTATAAGTCCCCTTTTCAGGCTGCGCCTGAACGGGGACTAAAAAGAGAAATATTACAATGAAAAGCAAATACTGGAGGCTCACTAAAGCAGATACATGAAAGAACAACCAACAAACAGAGTGAGTATAAATAATTCAAACGCATGTTGCCACTGGCACCACTGTACTGCTAGGTTTGTTGGTCAATTTACTCATTACAATTTACTATGTTTGAAAATCAATACCAAAGTAGCAGCAGTAGTATGAAGTTTTCAACTATTTATCTTTTGTTATTATCACTGTGTGTCCCTGCTTGTGAGTGATTTTCAACTTGGTACATGCCAACAACATAAATGCACAAGCGAGTAACCAATAAGGTAAACATTGGTATGTATTAATTTGTAGCACTTACCACAAATAATTTATCAGAACAGACAGGTGCAGCTTTGTGGAATGACCTAAGTTGGCTTCCCTGTGGAAAAAAAAATCATCATTAACATAAAGTACACATGAAAAAAAAACAGAGCTACATATTAGAATTTATTCAGGGTTGATATTGTATGATATATATATATATACGGTGATAGAGGAATTAGTACACAACTACATGAATATTGAAACTCGACAGCACTGTTTCGTAAGGTACAAGTACCTCACTCATCAGGAGCTTTATGTTTAATCATTCACTGCACCAAAGAGCATACAGTATGAGCTTCGCAAATTAACATATTAATTAAAATTAAATAGAAAGTTTAATTGTTACATATTAGAGCTTTTGATCTGTGTCGGCATGTTGAACGAGCTCATTTCTTTTGTTTAATGTGGAGTGGTGGGGTCTAAAAATTATGATAATTTTTTCTTTCAAACATAAAATGCATCGTTTGCTGGAGCTATTATACGGGCTACCGCGAGCAAGAATTTTCCATTGTATTTTATACTCAATATCTTTCTTTGAGTGACCAGACGTGTTTACTTAGTTCTGTCGCATTTCTGGAGGCCTGATTGCGAAATGAGGCCGTGTGGTTTCTGTATCTTGTTTTGAACTCATTACCAGTAAGTCCGACGTACGTTTCACTGGTGTACTTGTCTAAACGCGTAACTTCCGCTTGGTATACGATGCCAGACTGCAAACACTTCTCTTTGGTGCAGTGAATGATTAAACATAAAGCTCCTGATGAGTGAGGTACTTGTACCTTACGAAACAGTGCTGTTGAGTTTCAATATTCATGTAGTTGTGTATTAATTTCTCTATCACCGTATTCACCCGCTCTACATATACTTTGTATTGAGCACTTTTGTTTTGGAATAATCGACTATTGTATCTACAC